ACTGACCCACTACCAGGACCACCGGAGAAGCACTGACTGTACTTGTAGGAAATCAGCCAGAACCTAGTTTGTATTGGTTCTTATCTGGGTGAAGGCAGCTAAGTGATGGATGAAGGCTGCCCAGCAAGCTACAAGGGCCCCTAAAGAGGCATAGCCTCCGGATAAGTCTCCCACTAAAGGCAACATTACCAACATGGTCAGAAAACCCAGCTTCCAGGCTTCTACTCTTCACTAGAAGGTATATTAGAATGTAGACTGTCCCAAGGTACCTTGAGTCTTAATGTGAGAGACAGATTAGAAATGAAGCAAGAAAACAAATATGTTACTTTAAGCATGTCCAAGGGCTCGTGGTCATATGTTGGAATTAAAAAATAATAATTAAAAGCTATAATTAAAAGAGAAAGAACCCGCTAATTTTTGCACACACAACCTGATTTTATAATAACCTTTGTAGTATTTATATTTCACTACAGTAAGGCATTGAAAACAATGAGTAAATTGTATAATATCTGAAGAACTGTAAAAGGATATGCTGTAAGATTGCTGACCACATAAAACACATTGGTACTAAATGCATATCTGTACCTTTATTAGATTTACACCAAACAGCTAACATACAAAAATTCCAGGGAGCTGTGCTGGTCCATTAGAAAAACTACAAAAGCAACAGTAGTGCAATAACGTTTACTACATACAATAAAATGTTGTGGCATTTTAACTGGAAAAAAAGATTACTGTTGATCTTTAGAGCTTTAAGAGTTCAGCTATAGTGAACTATAGTGTTAAATAACCAGTAGTGTTAAATTCACAAATATATATCCTCTGCATGTTGAAAAATCTTTAAATAACTGGAAAGTGGAATGGTTAGAATGAAAAAAGCTACTGAGATTTAAGGACAATTTTAATTATTGCTTCAGCAACAGGGGTAACTTAACTTATGTTGACATAACAATAACAAATAAAAGTGAGTAATGTTTACAAATGAAATTTTCATGATATAAAATATTGTCTACAAACACAAAGCAGTGCAATTTAAATAAGCTTTCAATACACCCTATAGCACAATCAAGTTTCTCAAGAGTGTGGGGCTGAGAGGAGTAATATCCATATAGACCATTGGGTTATAGCAAGGAGAAGGAATGAAATGAAATTTCCCTTCCTGCTTCTTATATCATTGGAGGAAACAAAAAAGGACACCACTGGCAAAAAATATATAACGCACAAGCAAGTAAGCAAGTATATAACAGCAAGTATAATATAATTCAAATAACATAACAAATATGATAAAAAACAATAGGCCAAAGTGCAATAATAAATCATAATAGAAACAAGTCACAGTCTGGCATACACTAAGCCAGAATGGTCAGTCAAGGAGGACTTGACCCAGCTTTTGAGACTGGGTCCCATTACAGCCATGCTTGAATAAGAATCATTCGAAACGCGGCAACAGGCATCCGGATTACGCGTCGGCTTTTTATGGCTCAGAAAATTTGATGAATTGCACTCCAATTTGGACTTTGATATTGCTTCTATGCTGGAATAGACACATGGAAAGACTGTGACTTGTTTCTATTATGATTTATTATTGCACTTTGGCCTATTGTTTTTTATCATATTTGTTATGTTATTTGAATTATATTATACTTGCTGTTATATACTTGCTTACTTGCTTGTGCGTTATATATTTTTTGCCAGTGGTGTCCTTTTTTGTTTCCTGCATTGTACACTGGCTCCCCCCCCTCTTTTTTTGGCCTCTTATATCATTGGAGCTGCATTTGCAGGATGAAATGCGTACAGTGCAATCTTAAGCAGAGGCAGCTAAGCCCATAAACTTAGAAAGGATCTGAGTTCTGGCACCACTGAGGTCCCTTTGGTGTTTACTTAAATATAATTGTAGTAAAACCACAGGTCCCCAAGTGGAAAAATATCCTAGAATTAAATGTTATTTACAGAAGAACACTAGAACATTAAATCACAATGATCTTACAAAACCCTACCAAAAAGTCTACAAAAGTGTGTTCCCACACCGCAGGTCCCTTCCACAAGCACCAGGTTCTCTGACATGACATATCATTGCCCAAGAGGGAAAGCCATATGCATGTCAAATGACCTTGAGCAGCAATTATGCTCTATAGCCTCTTCAACCTACTACTTAGGCCCCTGCCACGCGGCAGGGAAAAGGACGGCTGATCTGCGGCTAATGTGAGCCGCACCAAAGTTGGAACACTGCGGCGGGATCCCACGGATCCCCTGAGCCGCGGCTTGTCGCTCCCCGGCACGATCAGATGCCGGGGAGGAAGAGTCGGATGGGAGGGGGAAGCTGCCGAACTGCGCATGCTTGAGCATGCGCAGTACAGCAGGGGGCCAGGATGCACTGGCGCAAAGACACGCCGGCCAATCCCACGGCACGGCTTGCGGCGCTCTAATCGATACAACCACCTAGGTAGGGGGTTCTTTTTTAGTGCGCGTTTTCGGCGGTAGGGATGGATCAGGGACGGGCAGGCAACAATTCCCAGATGTTGCCGTGGGATCGCGCCCGTTTGCTCCACCCCCGGTCCGTCCCCCTCCCGGCCCAAAACGCCTCATATGAACAGGGCCTTAGTCACTCTGTTCCTTCTTATAGCACCTCCTAATTCTACCTACAAGAAATTTTGCCTAGTCACATCTCCCTAATGACCCCCAAATATATTATGGGAAATAGACAATGACTCTTTTCTTGTTTATCTCAATGTAAGACCTTAAACAATTACCACAGCCCTTCTTTTGACAAATATAATTAACACATTCTAGTGTAAAACAGCAGCATATCAAATTTCATATAACATGGACACTAGGAAATTTACAGGTGGAAGAGAAAAAAGAGGTGTGTTCTTTTATACTGGTTTAATAGTTCACAGTCTGAAATCTTTTAACCAAAATACAAGGGTTTGACAGTCAAAATGCTGATGTTTCCTTGCATTTAGAGCATGCTCTAAATGGTGGTTGATCCACAGTATAAGCTCAGGGTTTTCTATCTTAATAGTCTCACTGGAGCAATTACTGGTGGGAGAAAAAGCTTCTGCTTCAATAGTTCACTGCTGGGGGAAAATAAATTGCAAAAAACAGACTGCATGTATCCTAGAATCATGCATGTATCCTAGAATCACTAGAAGTGTATGCAGAAGCCCGGAAGGGAGGTAATGCGGTGGGCAAGAAGGTAATATCACCAAGTGGCACTTGGAGGACAGAAGAGCTCCTATGTCTTTATGGGCAGGTGGTAAGAAATGGTGGTGGAGGCAAGGCAGCATGGTGCAGATGAGTGACTGCAGACAGCATGGTGTAGGTGTGTGACTACTGCCTAGCCAGGAGTGCAATATAAGTAGTCCATGCTTATTCATAGCCTGTTTGAAGGTTATAGCTTCACCATGCTGTCTGCAGCCACCTGGTCTCCACTACTGCCTCTTGACCTTCACTAGTAAAGACATTTTTAGTCTCTGTTCAGTGGTTACCTACTCACAGAATTTCAGAAACAGACTAGTGGGAGATTGCTGAGTTACAAGTTATCACAACACTCAGGACAATCGAATTCCCAGGGCTTAACAGAGATATTGGTTTCTTATCTCACTACAAGGAAACGTCATTCAGTTCCCACATCAGTTTGTAAACTATTTATGCTGTAAGCTAATTTGCTGCTATTCACAGGTTTTACAAACTGCCGTAATCCAATCTTAGCTGTATCTATTGCTCAATTACTTATGTATCTTAATTCTAATTGACTCTTCCTGGCAACACACTCCCTACCTATATGGAATGGGTGGTGACTTCTATTTCAATGTATCTGAAGAAGTGTGCATGCACATGAAAGCTTATACCCAGAATTAAAGGTGCCATTAAATCGAAACTTTATTCTGATCAATATAACATTGCTGATAGTTAATTACTGATATGGTTAGAAACAATTCCCAATCATCACCAGAATTAACAGCAAAACTCTGATTTCCTTAAATTGTCTATGTGAGTAGAATATATTTGTCTATGTGAGTAGAATATAAATATTTACACAATAAAGTACCTAAGAAAGAACCCACACATTTTGAAAGGTAATTTGAGACTTGTGTATCTTTCTTCATTTGTACTTGTTCATTAGCATCCAAGAAAGATCTGAACAAGACTATGGATAAATGGTGGTGATACTTTGAAAGAATCACAAAGAAAACAGTGTCTCTGAAAATTTGTAAAATATTTTGATCTTGAAAGGAGCACGACACGACGAGAAAGCAACTAAACTACATTAGCTCTAATTTTGTCAATATGTTTTACATGAATGCATAATATTAAGAATGAATAATGAGAGGCACAAAGTACTGTTTTGCAAAGTCTCATTATATTACTTCATTTCAAATGTATAAAATGATAAAAAGTATTTCAAAACAGGTGCAATTAAAAATATACACAGGGTTCCTTAAGGTAGATATCTGACTATACAGTGTTTTTGTCTTGTCAGTTTTAAAGTACTTCATTCAAATGATCCCTATCAGCAGCTATTTAATGAATTTCCCCTTTCCCAACAGATGTTCATGACAAGTACATCATAATCGCTGTGGTGGATCAGATCAAGGTCCATCAAGTCTAATATTCCATTTGTAATTATTCACCAAGGAAGCTAAGATACAGTACAAGAAAGTCATGGTAGTTCCCTATTTTTCCTAACACTCAATTTCTTTTTTTAGATCTTTGCAGAAATCTTCATAAAATTAGCATAATCATTTATTAAACTTATAAAAATACTTTAAAAATAACAATTATTGTAATGCTACAAAGCCACTTCCTAATTCTTTTTTTTTGGTAATTGTTTTATTTACCAAGCAGAAATACTGTTTAAGCAACAGTGTTAGATATCCATGATTATGAGTGTATATATGTGAATGAACAAATTAAACCTTAACCCACCATATCTTTTTCTCCAGTTTGCAAGCTGCCCTCGTGAAAAGTATGGTGTAGATGGTAGGATGATACTGTACCTGATTAGCTCTGGAGGTGGTCATGGGATCAGATGGAGAGGACTTGGTGGTAGTTGGGGATGATGGCAATGTCTGGGAACAAAGCAGTTCAGGAGCAAATCAACCTCAACAAGCCTTAGACTGAACAGTTAAAAAAAATTAAACCAATGTAATGTAATAGAAAATTAAAGAGGAAAAGCCCGAGATCTAAATTTTCTTCTCATTTGAACTTAATGGAATTTAATGCCAATCAAGCAAATAACTAATGCATGTAAGTATGCATGCATATACATGTAAAAAAAAAAATTAATGGTTTAAAATTAAGATGGCAAACTCACAAAATAATAAAATATGCTGACCGTATGAAAATTTTCTTTCCCACACATTATTCTTGGGGAAAGTAAAGGCTAGTAAACAAACAAATTCCAACAAGTTCAATGAGCAGTTGTACCATATAACCAACAGGCTGTTAAAAGGATGGCAAATGCTTGAAAGATAGAAGGTAATAACATCTTTCTCTCATCACTGTATCTGGGTTTTGTCCTGGAGAGTTGGGACTCCATAAAACAAGTTGTGATCCATAGCTTTAATTGTGATCCATAGAATTAATTCAAAGTTTTTTAAAGCGATAAACTACTAAAGCATTTATTCATTTATTTAAATTAAAGGACAGGTGAAAAATATAAACATCATTTATATCATGGATGATAGTACAATTAAAACTTCATAACAGAATTGCAGCACAGTATTTATCATCAGTATATAAAAGTAGTTAATATAAGGACAAAAGTTGAAGAATGCTGCATTGATCTGTACATAACACATAGGGTTCATATCATATTGTTATTTTTTTCCTTAAAACATATAGCATAGTTAATGCTAAAACACTTGCTAATGAACAACTGTTGATTTATTTGAAATATACGCATAGCTCTTAAGTGTGGTCCAATCACAGTTATCAAGTATTTTAGACAATCATAGTTCAATTTTCAAGATCAAATATACTTTAAAAAAATTATAAAGAAAATTTGTGAATACAATTTAAGCCACTTAAAATATCTGAAACCATAATATTCGTAAGAAAGGAGTACTCTACAATAAATCATTTATATACCAATATATGTCTAAGTCAGCTACCTCTGGGAATGTCTGGCATTGGCTGACAAGCTTTCAAACATGACAGCTGCCACATAGGGCATTTTGTGGTGGATACCAATACAGCTACTGTACAATGAAATTTCCCTGACACACACACTGGTTTTTACTCATCTCCCTGTTTGAAGAAAAAAAAAATTAGTAGAGTAAAAAAAACCCTAACGCAACAATGGTTTCTCACTTATTCGTATAATCTTACATAAAGGCAATTAAAATAAGATGCTTATGCTCAATTTTTCATATTGTATAGCCTAATTAAAATGACAGGGCAGAGCATACTGCAGCTTTTCATGGGATGCTGTCTGTTACTTGGACCTTACATAAAGGACTATCCACTGTTTAAAGTATCCTTTACGTATGTATACCCATCTTTTTTTTTAAAAAAAACTCCAAAGACAGAACTTCTCCAGAGGAAGTCAGAAAGGCTCCCATGCTCCTGGCTTTCCACAAACTATGCAAAACTGACCTTATTCAAAACTGCTTTTCTATGCAGGCAATAGAGTTGAATTGTACAAAATGATCCTAGTAACTTGGATAAATCATTAGGGACTGTGGTCCATGTTATTGTGTACAGCTTGTTCTAAGTAGGAATCTATTATGAAATTGTGCATCATTTAATGTGTAATGTTAACATTTGTGCTTTGCTTCAATCCTGTTTTTAGATTTCTGGTTTCCTGTATTTTTTAATTTTATAAACTTTATTAATAGAGAACAATCAATACAGATGGTTTGCTGTATAACCCTAATCCTATTGCCCTGTCTATTGAGTGTTCCATTCCTTTGATTATATTGACTCACTCTGTGTAATCCGTCTTGAGTTCCAGTGAAAAATGTAGACTATAAATCATGTAAATAAATGATATATTCAAGAAATGCAGGAGCTGCACTGGAAGAGGGGAAAAGCCCCATTCTGCAAATACTTCAGCATCTGACTCATTCCTTTTGACCTGTGATATTGAGAATTACACATAAGTATTTTGTATTATTTAGCAGGTGAAGAAATAGATGCCTCTTGGGAGTTCTTGTTCACTTGCAGAACTACAACCACTCTAACTCTTTTGGCTAAGTAACACAATGTTCATAAGCAATGCAAATTCAATGGGTAAAATGAAAGGCAGGAAGAACTATACATTGATCATTGTTTTCACAGGTCTTTTGCGATATTCAAACAAAGCTAGAGTGCAGGCTAACTGTAGAAACTGAAGGTTTTGAAGCTGAATGGAATTAAGGTCAGGGTGTATGAAGAAAATGATACAAAGCAGGCAATATACAGAACAGAAGGGCTTGACAATATGGTAGGAGAAGGGGAAACATCTTGCATATGCTGTTGGTTCAGGAGAGCTGAGTGCTATTAGCAGAAAATGTTGGTGGGCTATAGGGCAGGAAAGCTGGATGGAGAAAGTTCCAAGAGACTGAAGGACAGTACTGGCCATGGACTGAAAAGTGGAGATCTGATGAAGCAAAAGTGGTAGAAGCCTAAAAGAAAGGATAACTTGAACTGTTGGGGTGGGGGGAAGTTAAGGAACAATGGCCTGTGTGAAAATTTGCATAGTAGAGATTTCATGATGTTGGCAAAAACAGCCAAATTGAGGTTATGAAAATATGAAACAATTGGATGGTGTGCTAAGGTAATTCTGCTTGAGTAGATGGCAGGGAATAAATTTCAATGATTAAACTAGACTGATTTCTGACTTTATATGTTTATTTTTTCTACAGTATTTTTTCTGCTGCACAATGTAGATTTCCATTCTTTATTTATGTACCCTTGCAATAACTCTAGAAGCTACACTAGGGCCCATTCTCCATCTAGCATTTGCTCCGTTGTTTTATCAAACCCACACTGGAACAGAAAAAGATGTGGCTCAAAACCATATTCACTGGCCAACATACTGACTGCAGAGTCACCCCTGAATGGCCATAAAACAGCCATAAATCTATGCCGATGGCTACCATAAAACCGAGATCAAAGGAAGTAAAAGCTGCATGCAGTCTGGACACTGCCATAATCTGACAATCAATCAAAGTTAGAGTGGCATGCAATGTAGAGGGGAATTTCTGTTCCAAGGTGAGTCTGGTAAAACAGCAGAGTGAATGCTAGATGAAGAATGGGCCTAGGTTGAAAGTCTGTCATGTGCCCAAAATCACACAATAAGATTTGTACTGAGTAAGATTTTGAACCCAGCCTTTCAAACAAGCCATATTATAATCTGTACCACACACATTCCTGAGTCACAGAAATGACACTTCTTTGAATGTAATCTTAATTTGCTGTGGCCTTTGGTTCGACTCCATTATGTTGTTGACCCATGTTCAGATTGATTTCCATATCTACTGCTTTTTTTTGAAGCAGTGATGGTTATACTACAGTTTATATGCATAGATTTGATCTTCATTCCGCTGTTTTACAATTGTACTTCCATTTAGCATTTCTTGCACTTCTATAAATTTAGAATGAAAGTTTAAAGTTCTAATAAATTCTTATTACTTACATTCCCCTTCCCTTCTAACCCTGTATTTTATCAAAGTAGGGAAAAAGAAGACTACTATGATTTCTTCATTATAAAAATATAACTGCTATTATTTCCTTTGCTTTTATGTGCATGTAAAATGATTACACTACAGGAATTTCCCAGAGATAGATATAATCTCAGAACAATTAACATTTGTTGAATATTATTTTAAAGAACAAAAACTTCATCTCTCTTTTCTCATGCCACTATACCACATCTGTTCTCTGAATTCTTGCATGCAATATATAGTGATCTGAGGATTCTTAAGCAGAGCAGAGCAAGAGACAGGTGCTCTAATACAGAACACAACTCTTCAAGAAGCAGTCTCCTTCAAGGAGACAAGTAATGCATTATTAAAACCCTTAAACTATTGGTCCTGAGGAAAAAAAGACAAAACAATGAACCTAAAGTATGTGGCAAAGGCTAGACACAGTATTATTCTGGAGGTATATTTCTGAGTGGGAACTGCTGACTCTAAACACTGAAGAGAGCCAATGTTCTTACCTAATATTCACATGTACTGAATTCAGGTATTTATTAGCCACAGAATTATCTTGTAATGCTAGGGCATTATCAGAATAACTGAATATAAATAAGAATATTATTTAATATAAATAAAAATATCAATTGAAAATGCTGGCAGTTTAAAAGTTAGACAGAGAGAAATATATCAAATGCATTAGCTTAGTTTGTGGTGGTGAAAAACTAAAGCACTGAAAAGCTTGAACCAGACAACAGAAGTTGGTCCATTAAGCTGTCGCAACATGTGGCATCCATCTCTTAACTTGTAGGCAGGGAATGGCAACAATTCTCAATACTACTGGCTTGCTAAAGTAGGGGGTCTTTTTGCAGTTGCTGACTGCAGGAAACTTGTACAAGAATCCCATAGAAGAGGGACAAGAACTACATAGAAATATAATTAGAAAACTGTCAGTCATGTCGTCAATTTCCTTCCATTTCTATCATTAAAACATGCAAGTGACCCTTTATCACTGAAAAAAAATGCAAAACCTCACAAATTTCAGAAGAATTAGAACTGATCTGTTTAAAATGTACATTAACTATACATTAGTTACCAATCTTTAATACACAGTATTTGCTGAATGAATCACAGAATGACAATAAAGTACAAAAACTATCTTAAAAATACAATGCACATACAGCATGTGTATTCCTATTAAAAATAAAATGGAGTTATAGGTTTAGCAGAAAAATGTTCTTTCACTTCTAACAATACAAAAGACTGACCCATTATACAGGTCATAAACGTTTTATGATCCCATTAAAAAGAGAGATTGTTTTTCTTTGAGAATAATATATGAAGAGGCACGTTGATTGTGACTGCCTCAGCCTAAACTGTACTTTACCAGAAAGTTAAGACTATAAGGGCTCAAAAACAGGTCCTTTCTTCCAGGCTCTTTGATCACT